GGTAGGTTTGCTGAATAATGATTTAATAAATGACCTTCTCGAGTCAATTTCATGATCAATGAGAGATAAGTTCACTGGATTTCATTGCCTCAAGCTTGAGAATCGTTTATTTGGTTTCAGTCTAAATCAAAAAAACATAATTCACTATGAAATGGTACACCAGTCAGCTGATATAATGTGACATTTGACCATTATTAGCTCAATCATTACCATTAATAACTTTAAAAGGAAAATGTCAAACATATTTATAAGTGCCTTGCAAAAACATTTTAGTTAGACTCGATTTTACTGAATTAAAAATCCCACAATGAGAAAAGGAAACATTCCATTTACAGAAATATATAGTCCTTGTAATCCACAAGCTTACAAGTTTACATTGATGAATTAAAAAATGCATTAATGAGGACACAGCTGCTTTATAAATTGGACATTCTGTACAAAAACTTCACAGTGGGCACTGCTGGTATAATAATTACGATGCGGAAGCACCATCAAAGCACTGCCTGAAAATGACGGTCCCATCAATCTCTGCACAGACCAAGTGGCCTGCTATGAGAAAAATCTTAAGTTCTTTCAACATGACAATTACACCAAAAATATTAACAATAGAGTGAAGTCTTCTTAAGTTTCACATATTGTACATTTTACACCTTCAAATTTTAACAATTTGAATGAAAAAAACTGTGAAAATCTGACATGACAGTAAAATTGCAGTCTACTACTGTGGTATCTTTAAATAGTCATGAATGGAACATCTAATAAACATTTAAACTAATCAACTGAAAAACATTCAGTTAAAAGGCCTGTGCCTTTGGACCATATTGACATGACATTGGAGCATAAACCTGTTGCCTCCATGAACTCAAGGAAACACAAGAACGCATGATAGGTACACTACTGCCTGGAGTTGATAAGAATTTTATGTTGACTCAGACTACATTTATTTGATCAAAAATTCAGTAAAACAGTAATATTACTAAAAATAATGGTTTCCTGTTTTTATATATTTTAAAATGTAATTTATTCCTGTGACGCACAGCTGAATTTTCAGCAGCCATTACTCCAGTCTTCAGTGTCACATGATCCTTCAGAAATCATTCTTATCATTCTCATATTATCAGTGTTGAAAACAGTTGTGTTGCTTAATATTAATCTGGAATTTTTTCTGGATTTGATAAACAAAGTTGAAAAGAACAGCATTTATTTGAAAAAATATTTGACCAATTTAATCCATCCTTGAGAAATTAAATTAAAAAAAAAAAACTTTTAAGCAGTTGGGTATACAATACCTGCTGTAACTACAAACTGGCTTATAGCAACACTTCTTGCAATAGTACACACAACATTCACCTAAAACTTTTTTCGATGCAATTCAGGCTACACACAGTGAAAAATACACCCTAACCTCAGCCGTTCAAGACAAGACCAGCCTGTTGCTCTCTTTTTCCTTTCCTTTAAAGTGTTGCCATTTTCAAAGCCAGGAAGCAGTTTCGTGGAACGATGATAGAAAAATTGATTGTGAAATCTATTTAGTGTGGCTATCGATTTCCCCGTAAGGGGAAGGAAGGCAGACCGTGTGAGTAAGATAATGGAATATGGAACGGGGGAGCAAGAGCCCAGAAATGGGAATTGACACTGGTTAATGGAGTAGAACTGGGCTGTTTTAAGTGGGGCATGAGAGTGTGTGCACATATATTCGTGTGAGAGGTCCCCACATCTACGATAACACATTTAGCTCAGCATGTCAATTCACCCATATTAAAGGAACAGTTGATGCACAAAATTTAATTTGGTCATTATTAACTCAATCTAATATCGTTCCAAATCTGTTAGCGGTTATTTACCCACAGAACACCAACATTTCTTTTTAATCAGTTTGGAGGAAAGTCATAAAGGCTGGAAAAAAATGAGGATGAATTTTAAAAAACAGATGAAAAATAATTTTTGGATGAACAATTCTTTTAAAACGGTCCTCACGCTCATTTATTATTGAATAGGAAGATTTCAATTTCAAATAAATACTGTTCTTTATAACTTTCTATTCATCAAAGAATCCTGAAAAAAACACAACTTTCCACAAAAATATTAAGCAGCACAACTGTTTTCAAAATTGATAATAGTAAGAAATCTTTCCTGGGAATCAAATATTATATCATGTATTGAATGATCATGTGACACCAAAGACTTGAATAATGGCTGATGAAAACTGAATTAAATTACATTGCAAAATATGAAAATAGAAAAAAAAAGTTATTTAATATATTAATATTTAAAAGTTATTTAATAATGTAATATTTCACAAGATAGTTGTTAAGTTTTTTTTATTACTACATAAATGCAGTCTTGGTGAGCATACCGACCCCAAACTTTTGGTTACGTATAGGTGAAAGGTGTATTCTTACTGCCTGCAGCAGCACTGTTGTAAATCCCCAGACCTCTTCAATTCTTGTTTCACATCATTGGACAGACACAGATTTGGTCAATGACTTATATTGAAAAAGGAAGGAAAGTCAGTCTGGAAGAAAGGCCCAGAGCAGTGAACACACACAATATTGACGAAACAATGAGCAGTTCGACAGCAGAGAACACATCACTGCTACAAAAGTGACTATCACTTCATTTAAAATCATTCACAGTTATTTAAATAGTCTGGCCATAACTACTGTATAATAAGTGAACACAATGAGCTGTCATTCCTCCTGTGTGACTGCGGTATATGACTCATTGTACATGCAGAACTAAGCTGTGTCATTAGCAGTCAATGCATCAAGCTATTTCAGGATTTCTAATAAGTATTTATCATTGGGAGAATCTTATTTAATGAAATTCACATTATTGTCTCTGCATACATGACAGCAATGGATGACTATTTGAGCCTGGCTGCTCCAAACAAATAAAAAGTAAATAAAATAAAATGCAATAGCCAGAAAATTCTACCAGGAAACCTGGACACATGCGGTCAAATCATTCTTTCATGCATTGTCAATACCAGTTTCTCAACTGCCACATCTTTCTTAGAGCCACATATTGTAAACAATGCTGGAGAAAGTCAAGAGTGAAAAAAGAGAGTGCTCATAAATATGTCAGTCCGGTGCCTACATAAACTAAAGATAGCATGTAAAGGAGGAGAGACAATGAATAAACCATAGAAAGAAAGACTGAGAGGAAAATAAACAGTTTTTTTCTTCATCATGAGATCAAAAATCATGACAAATGCAAAGAACATGTAAAACTGAAGCTTGAAATGCCAAGGGTATCTAATTGCCTCGTCCTTCTACAAGCACATTGAGTCGTTTATGTGTGAACCTCTCAGCGACCAGCTACTGTCAGTTTAACAAATCTAACCTGATGGTAGGCCCATTACGGCGAAGGCCTGAGATGGTGAGAGATTAGAGGTGCGATTAGAGGAAGAACCCAATTATCCCTCAGCATGGAGACTGACCCCTCGAGACACTTCCGTTATTGATTTCCAATTACATCACTGCGTCTTCCATAGGACAAGCCTGATAGACAGAAACAAGCAGAATTTCATGCAGAGTTCTTATGGTCACACAAGCTTCAGACACATTAAATGCACATGAACAGCAACATTTCAATGCACGGAATATGTATTAGGAAAAAAATGCTTTTATCTGTAGAGAATATAAACAATTTATATGAAGGCTGAGTTATTCAAAAGCTTCAAACACCAGTGTCAAAAGGCAGCAAAGCATCATGTTACCACTAAAGATTTCAAATGATCATTTAGAAACTGAAAGGCTGTTACTGACTCCTTGTGGTAGTAAAAAAAAAAACGTACCTTTTTTCTTTGGTAACCTGAAATGTATGCTACAATAGATTGCATGGCAAAGGCTGTTAAAAATTGTGCAAAAGTCCATTTATGCTCTGTAATAAATCGTCAAAATTAATTGTGAAAATACCACAATGAGGCTGTGAGTACAAATGAACGATAGCATTTATTCCCATTGATTATTCTATAGTTAAAAGAACAAACAAAAAATACTGTTCAGATTAAATCAGAGCAGAAACAAGGTTTAGTTAAAACAAACAAGCAAACAAACTTACTAAACAATCAAATAAACTTCATCATATAATTGCATTGGTTTAGGATGAATTTGTTTTCGATTCCATACTATGAGGCATAATGGCAGTGAAATAGCAGTTTGTACCACACACACACAAAAAAAAGTTTAGGATAAATTTAAATGGACATCCTCATAACAGCATTAATTAGAAATAAGCAAAGCTAGTGGGTTTAACGTAAGCTTTCGCCCTCTAATGGCGGAGGACAACAGATTTCCTTTTCAAAGAGCCCTCAATGCACTTAATGCACAACAGAGACTGAATCCGCTTTGTTACAGGAAACAACACAGTACTAAGAAAAGCAGAGGACAATAACCCTAAAATCCCTAAAATTGTACTTAACACTGCCAACAATAAATGACCATTTTGGAAAAAATAAAAGGTACGGCAGACTTTGCTTTCAAAACACTTTTTTTCCATAAATGTCATCTCACCTGGCAGTTCCATAAAAAAGAAGAATTCCTGCTAACTGCTCCCACATAGGTTCCTTAACCTTCATTAAACAGACACGTGTGTGGATGAGAGGCAGAAGGCTGAACAGACAGAACACAAATTGCCCTCAATCATACATGAGATCTGTTCAGGTACAGAAAAACAAACAAACAATAGAACAAGAAGGAACTGAGCATCTTCAGCAACCAAAGGAAGGGTTAGGAAGTGAAAACCATGGCCATTGGCCTAATTACTTTTTTTTTTTTGTATTGTAGCTCCCATACTTGAAAAG